TCACATACCAGTGTCACATCCTGTTTTCCGAGTCTTACCACATCAAAATTGGTTATAATTATTCATACCTCATCTTAGATATTGACTTGTATCCTTTAGGAAAAGTTACCATATATGGAAACAGCATCGATCACATCAGATTATGTTGATTCGTCACCACACATGTCATATACACCAAAAAATACTCTAAGTCTCAGAATTATTGGAGAATTATCTGAGCAAATATCACAGCATAGGCCCAGAAGCTCTTCTTTTCATGTTAGAAGGCTCGACCAGATGGGTCGAGCCTTTTAATATGTGAGGATATCTGGGATTAACAGGTGCACCGTTGAATCTACTCCAGCGGCCAGGGGGCAAGCGGCACATCAGCTCTCGGCGACCCTTAACCGATCCCTCGTCCATACATGTTTCCCTCCGACGTTGGATGGCACGGCCTTCAGCGTGACGTGTCCGAGTCGATGTACTTGCAGTGACCAGTCTTGCACTAGCGTCCGAGTAGAGGAACACCGCTCAGGCGGCCGAGAGTCATACTCGTACTCAGCGACACATGCCGGCAAGTTTGGGGCATGTTGGCATGCACGCTGCGATGGCCGGCCGCTATAAGCGCCGGCGCCGGGTATTAGATGGGCAGCGCCCCAGGACCGCGCCACGGCGAAGACCTCAAGCGCCCACAGTACCCCACCTATGTCGCTCTCCAAGTTGAACGCACATCTGCGCCTTGTTAAGTGGTACTGGGCAGACCATTTCAAGCAGCAGAATCAAGCACCGGTCCGGAGTTCGGACCCCACGCCGGGCGGCGGTGACTCTCGGGATGCATGATCCTTGAATGGGGTGGTCTGAGTCGGAAACATAACCTCTGTTGTCGGTAAGAGCGGAAGGTGGCGTGGGGTGGCGTTGGAAATGCTGGGCACACGCCATTTTGGTGGGGCGTGCCAGGACCCCCGACAACCGGCTCACATGTCCGATGCCCCGCAGGGTAACTTTTGAGAAATTTTGGCAAAATGTATCAGGTATTTTGGGTAAAAATGGCCAGATTTGCTCTCAAGCTTTGGGTTAGATGTTGGGTAAAAGTGGTCTCCATAATGAGGTATGAGGCCAAAATTTGGGTAACTTATGTCAAATTTTGGCCACCAATCTGTGGTTTGGTCAACAATCAAGGGCAAATCTGGGCTCAAATGCCTGTACTGTCATTTTACTGGTTTCATCCAAATTTGCTCCAAGTTTAGGGATACTTTCGCGATTTTTTTTGTCGCAACAGCCGTGGGCAAAAAAATGATCGCATCATTGTCAATGGCAAATTTTGGGTAAAAATGGGCTAGTTTAAGAACTCAGGGGCAAAATTTGGGTAAAACCCGGGCCAAAATGATGCTAAAAAAAGTTGGGTAAGAACTTCCCAAAGTGGCCTCAGACATCACAGCGGGTTGTCGGTGGTCCTGGCGTGCCAAGCCAACCAAATGGCGTGTACGCCTGATGGGCGGCGTGGGCTTTGATGGTCAGCCAAAAGCCACTCCCACGCCACGCCACTTGGCGCGGGCGCACGCCATTCGGCCACGCCAAAACGGTAGCTCTCCGGCTATTCGCAGCCTCGGATGTGTTGATGGGCATCAACACAGGCCACCCAAGCAGCACGCGGCTCGTTGCAAGGGGGGGGGTTCAAGATCCTTATCAGGCACATGGGGTAGGGGGGAGGGGGGGGGTCCCCAGGGGGTAAAAAAAACTTTTTGTATATAAAAGATTTGGGCCTTATATAGGTGTAAAGACACTGAAAATGTAGTGTATACACTCTAGTTTCTATAGTTCACAACTCTCATACTTATATCTATATACTTTCATGCCCAAGAGCTTGGATAGCCCACTCTGTCATAGGCCCATCACCAGGTAATTGATGAGAGATGAACATGTTGTAGGGTTCATATGGCCTGCCATGTGTGTTTGAAGGCTTTAGGTACATACATACTGACACATATACATATACACATGTATAAATTTTTTTGCAAAAAAAAAGTTCACAAAGATTGAATTTTTTATCCCATTTTTTTGATCGCAACAGTGGTCACATGATGCTGATCGTGAGAATATATTACTATATATGGCAGGAGGGGGGGGGGCCCCAGAGGGTCGGAAAAAAACTTTCCGACCCTATATCCATGTTTCGAATGTTGAACCACCCTTGGCTCGTTGTCGAGTCGTCCAGTTGGGCAGACTCAGAGCTGCTACTAGCCTGCTGGATATCGTGAGCTGACGGTAGTACCGGCAGCATGGACCTCGAACTGCCAGTGCCGCTGGCGTCACGCGTGGGATGGACCTCAGGCTTTGCCCGCCCCTCATTGGCGCAGCATTCGCTCACCGACGCTGCAGTCATGCGCGTGCTGCTAGTCTACGTCGGGGCCGTCGTCGATGCGAGTGGCGAGATCGGCGCGCCTGCGCCATAGCCGCTGAGGCCCAGGAACTCGGAGCCGGAAGATTATGACAGCGAGCCGGGCCAGCCTGCCCTTACGCAAGAGAGCCTGAGCTGACTCCCCCGCCGCCGGTGCCCGTTCCCAGCGGGCCGCGGTGCCTATGCGCCACAGTAAACCACTGCCCTCGAATGGGCCCCACGGCGTGCTCAGGCTCGGGCCGTTGCCCAGCCCGCCGTACGGTTTTGCGCATGGTGTTCCCGAGGCCGCCAAACGCGTCGCCGAGCACGCCACCCGCGCCGGCGCATTCAAAATCAGGACGTGCTGCCCCTCCTTACTCGATGGTCAAGTTCGGGGATGCGGACTGGACAGACGCTGCTGGTTGTTGGAGCAGCCCGGGGCCCAGCCACCGCACCTCTCTACAAAGCTATAACTCGACCGCGGCTGCGGGCGCCCGTTCACAGCGGCCCGGGTGCTTGATCACGAGTTGAATAATCTCAGCCTTTTTCTTTTTTGCGATGGCGCGACGCGCATACGTCACGGCGGTGCTGGGCGGATACTGGATGGAGGCAAAAAAACAAGAACTCTAAGCGACAACACGCCCGTGCGGTGCGGCCCGCGGCGAACCGGCGGTGCCAGCGTGATGATGGTGGCAGGAACCCGAGGATAAAGCTCGAGGGTTGGGTTGTGATACCGTAAACATGACTTAGACCTTTGGCGTCACGGTGGCGCCGCCCGCATGGCGCCTCATTCTATTCACAAGCTCACTACAAGTCTCAGGAGGTCCCACGACCCCGCCCGGCACGCGGAGCTTCCCTGCGTCCGGGACACCCCCGACCGAGACCGGCACGAGCCCCTGCGGTTGCCCAGCCCGCCGCCGACACAGTCTTGGCGCGGATGATGTCGCCGAGGATACCGAGCCCGCCGCTCAGCAGGCTGTCAGCGCGAGTACCAACGCCGGAACCAACAGGCGCCGGGTTGCGCTGGCGCTGGAGGGGACGGGCAGCGGTGGGCCGGGCCTGTGTGAGGTTTGAGTGAGGTCAGGGAGAAGAAGGGGGACATACGCGGCCGGCGCGCAGCGCGGTTATCGAGCGCTGGCCTGGGCATGTCGACGTCGTAATCGATAATTGTGTCCTCGATGACAGCGTCAGTGTCGAGCGTATTGCTCTGCCGGGCCGGGCTGCCCGAGCCCAGCCCGATTTCGGGCCCGGCTTTGTCGGGCCTGGGCCACGGAATTCCCAGGCCCGAGCCACCGGATCAGGGCTCGGGCTCGGGCTGCCCGACGCGGGCTGGGCGGGGCTTCGGGCTCAAAGCCCGGCCCAGCAGACCACGAGAGCGGGGCGACGGCGGTGTAATCGCGACGGGTCCAGATCTGGAGCCCGACGGGCGCGGCGATGGCGTGAAGCATAGTGGTTAGGAGGGCTAGCGCGGCGACTCGGATGGAGAGTCAAGACGCCGAATTGCATTGCTGGGTGGAGTGAAGGAGAAAAAGAAACAGCGTCCGAGTGCGTGGAATGATGACAGTCCGGCACCCCCTCCATTCGCACCCGCAATTGCAAATCCGTGTCTGTCCGTGAACCAGTCGCCGGTGCATCGTCGCTGCCGCTTCACCAAAGAGTATGACGATGAGATCCTGCGGACGCCCGTTCGCCGCGGGCTGCCGGATTAAATACTGGATCTATCACCTCTTTTGCTCCTCTAGAGTCCATACGATATCCGGACCACGGACGTCGACGATCCATGTGCGCGCGCGCGTTGGCCCGTGATGCCTCAGAGCGCGCAGATTGATTCGAGCAGATGGACGTGGAGAAGCCGTTGACGTGGGAGCATGCACGTGCGATCCACGCTGGTCCGTGCGCCGCACGTCAATCATGGGCCGATTTCCTTCTTTTCCCTCACTTGTGTCCCCCACGCGAATTCCGTTTTTCGTCGTTCCGAGCTCGACGACATAAGTATAGCTTAGCGTACAACCTACCGCAAGCAGCGCGCGGCTTCTTCCTGTAACGGACCCGCGAACGCGACTAGGATGGATAATGGATTATGGCGCCAGTGAGGAAGGCTTGCGGCACGACGGCTGGGGCTCTATCCGTGAGTGTCCGTTCCTCGCATCTCATTGCTTGTTCTGATTGCCGCGCTAGAGCTTTTCAGCATCCGGAGCTTCTCTCGTCCCCCACTCGCCATCGTGGCTAAAGAAGCGCAAGGATGAGTCACCGTGCTTTGTAGATGACTCTCTCTCCCGACTTCCATACAGCATGCTGGTGTTCAGTGACACGCCGCTCTGAGACACCGGAACGCACTCGCGCCGGTGTCGCGCAAGAGAGCGGGGGGCTTCGGGTGCGTCGCCGTTGGTACCTCGTTGATTGCGTTGAGTCGCCGCTGACAGGCTACAGCGGAACTTTAAGCTGTTTCCAAGCTGTTTGAGTCACCGTGGCTCCCTGATTCAGTGGAAGGCGGTGCTGCGAGCGCTTGTGAGCGATTGAAGTCATGAGAGAACAACACATGTATTGTGAGTCACAACCCCACACACCACACCCACACACCCTAATGGATACAAAAGAGCGACGCGTGGCTTTCAAGCCTGTCTTCCCTTCACTCTTGCCTCCCATGTCCGTCGCAGACCGCTACTTTAGATCAACTCTTCACAGGGCTGCAGCAGCCAACGCCATCCCGCTGGCCTTCCTCCGAAGCCACACTCACCCGGTGCTCCCGGGAGAGCTGCGAGGTCGCCTGGACGCATTCCAGCATGACCTTGACCGCTACAACGCGGACATCAAAGCGGTCCGCGCCGCCCTCAAGCGGCTGAAGCGCGAGCGGGCCGCGCTAGCGGGGGCCACTGCCTCATGGGCAGCCGTGTTTGCGCCGATCCGAAAACTCCCGAACGAGCTGCTGCTGCGTATCCTGCACCACGCGGTGGACAACACCCCGCGGACGCTCTACGAGGGCTACGCGCCGCCGGTCGACGACGCCGACGACATCGAATACATGGAAGACAACTTCTGGCCAATGGAGATGCTGTCCCAGGCGTCGTGGCGCAAACTGGGGGCAGTGTGCCGGCACTGGCGCGACGTGGTCGAGGGCACGCCGTCTATTTGGGCCAACATTAACGCGATCGGGCTGATAAGCTACCACAACGACTGTGCTGGGGAGGTGCTGCGGCAGGCTCTGGCCCGTACACGCGGGATACCCCTCCACATTGGCCTTGGGATCAAAGTCTCGGGACTACAGGACATATTTGCAATGCTCATGGAGCACGCGGAGCGGTGGAAGAAGCTCACGCTTCGGGCAGATGTTGACGAGCTAGCAGAGCTGCAGGCCATTGCCGGCCGGCTGCCATTGCTGGAATCACTTGATGTACAGATTCCAGGACACAGATACTACAACCCGTGGATGCCGACCAAGTGGACGCTGTTCGAAGATGTGCCTTCGCTTAGACGGCTGGTATTTAACAATAAGCCACCACCTGTTCCGTGGGCCCAGCTCACTCATGTTCACCTGCGCTCCAAGGGGGCAGTGTACGACAACCTAGCATTCCTCGAGAAATGCTCACCACGGTGTTCGGTGAAGATTTCCCACCTAGCAGAAGACAACCTTGAGATTGATTCACGGGGAAGGTCAGCTATTCAGGCTGACATCCCCAGCCTGCACTTGTGTATGATTGGCATATGTGGTGATGCCAGTGTTCCAGCACCTGAGGAACTGCTCGGCCCGGTGCTCAGTTTTCTGGACTTGCCGCGGCTGACCAGCCTGACACTCGAGCGCCAGCAAGACAAGTACACGCCGTTCAAGGGTATGGTCTCGGAGGTTCTCTGGAACGCAGATGCTTTTGCGGCTTTTGTGCGCCGCTCGCCACACGTGACTGTGCTGCACCTGCACGGCATTTCGATTGATGCCCGACAGCTGTGCGCAGGCCTCCGCTTGATGCCGCTCCTCGAGACACTTGGGCTTGCGCTTCCAGGATTCCGCCCCCGGGTATGTTACCATTGACATTGAAACCGATGTGCTCCGTGCACTGCATGTTCCTGCCCGGGGCAAGACACATGCAGAGACGGATGTACTGGTACCAAGGCTGACACACTTTTGCTACGACTCGCGCTGGCATTTCCTTGTCCAACCCCTTGCAGACCTTGTCATCTCACGTGTCCGGTGGAACAATGATCGTGGGCAACATATCGAGACAATGGGACACTCATTTGTGCTGAATATGGAGTGGTGGCCGAGGCTGTATCAACGCACTGAAGCCAAAATGAAAGCCTTGATGCAGCTCCTTGAGCCATCAGTAAGTGACGATGGCTTGCAGGTTATCCTTGATCTGTAGGGCAAGGTCTTAGGAAACAGCCCACAATATACAGCATATGACTAGCAGCTGTTTATTCTATTTATATGGGAGCTTGAATATTCTTGAATATTTCCTTTTTTTGGAAAAGTGCTTATTTATTGTTTGCCTCACTTTGATTCTATCATTTATCAATTCCTGAAATGCATTAAGCATGCTGTGATCAAAGTGTTACCAACTCTGCAATCCAGAACAATAAGTCTTCCTGTCATTCATTCCAACACCTAACTTCAAATGACTTGTCATGGATACCTCCACTTTCACCTCCTTTAGACTGTCCAAGTGCATCTGAGGCACATCCCGCCGGCATGGCAGTGCCCCCCTCAGATGATCCAAGCCAATCTGACTTGACTATTGTCCACAGCCTCCAATGCCTGCACAATCACCTGGGCCCCTGTCCTACAGTTGCCTTGGCATAAGGCCTGCAACATACAACCCAGGCTTTCTGTGTCTAACAACAGCAGTTATGAACAACCAGTATATAGTTGGCACCTTAGCAGGCAGACAATAGGCCTTAGAGTTTAAATGAATGGAAATTTGCAAACACTCACTCCAGTTGTGTAGCTCGGCACATATTGTCACAAATCAAAGTTGTGTATTTTGACTATATAAAAACTTTCATTAAATTATGGCAGCTCAATAAATGTGTTAGCACTGACACATCACTAGGTCATATATAACTGATAGGCCTCTATCTCCATAGCTGCTTGAGCCAAATGCATGAATGAAGTACTAGGCAGGGGGTCTCAAAAGTACTATTGGTTGATAACGTATTTTGATTATTATCATCTGATATGATTACCATATTAACTATTGAGTCATTAAACAAGAATATCTAGTACTTAAAAAATATAAGGTGGCTACGTTGTGAGTTTGGCTACCCATCAGTGGCCTTTGATCTCCATCAGCTTTGACAGATGAGAATATATCTTCAGCTATCTTTGGTAAATAAAGCTGGGAATAAGTTCATTTGAAAGGTATACCTTCCTACTAATATCCTTGAGCCTCACCAGCTATATTTTATGTTGCCATTACCTTGATCTATACACTGCTAAGCATGCCTGAATACCAAATTGAGCAGTGTTTTGCTGAGATCCTGGAACTAAATGCATGTAATCTTATGATCTAAGTTCATATAATGCCATGTCATAGTCCTCCACACTTCTACTCATTTCTAAGTCCACAGCAAGTTTGAGGGTTATTCAATTCCCAGGGACGTTAGGTGCTATATAATACAGGATAGAGATATGCCAAAAGGGTGGGGTACCATCTCCTGGGAGGTGCATTATACCCCTACCAGTAGATGTCCTCAAATCAATAACATTCACAAAGGTCATTATGTAGTCAACTTATTATTTTTGGGGGAGATAACATTGATAATGGTACTGTAAGAGATCCAAAATAGCTATGGGGTTGATTCAAGTGCTGGACAGGTTCATTTGAAGGTCCATACAATCCTATATTCATGTCTTAGATCACACCTGAAATCAATTTCTGACCAGTTGTAATAGTGAAGACACTCTGTTTGGCTCTATGGGTACCTACCCTCTCTTCAAGAATCAGGTATATGTCAGGGGAACCCCTGCTTCGGCCTCCTTCGGACCATCCAAGCGCATCCAAGGCGCATCCGACCGGTGCCCCCTCGGACGCTCCAACCCACCCTGACCATTGTTCATGGCCTCCTTCGCTCGCACAATCACCGATCTGTCAAGACCCTCCCAACGATCACCTTGGGACAGAGCCTGCAACGCTGCTCAGGCCTTCTGCGCTCTACGTCGGCAGTTACGGACGACCAGTATATAGTTGGCACCCTCGCAGGCGGACTCTTAGAGTTTTTTCTCTTTGGATCCTCTAGGTCGGTCCCTCTGTGTATTTTATTCACGCTTTGGATCCTCCCCTGCTAGGCTTTCGTCGGAGTCTCCAGGGTTGCCCTTACACCCAAAAAGAAAGTTTGAAAGAGAGAATTTCTGGGGAGCTCTCCATTTGCTCAAACAGATCATCTTTCTTAGTAGACAGAAAGACAGGCAGAAAGGCCATATTTAGATGACCTTTCATAAGCAGAGAAAGATGACTTTGTTTTGCAGCTGCAAGGGACACAAAAAGTAACCATTTATGATTCTGTTCCCATTCAAATAAAATATATTATTTCTGTTATAAGAAAATATGGATTTAAATAAGTAATTTCAACTCACCTTTCTGTTGGGAAAGAAATTCTTTTGAATTTATGGTGTGTATGGTGGAGAGAAAAAACTCAAAATAGGGACAAAAAAAAAAAAGAGTCCAGGGCCCCGATATATATCATATGAGTGAATATAAGTGAATATTTTTTGTCCCTATTTTGATATAAAAGCTGGTCTAGAAAAGGCTGTTTGATCTGCCCCAAAACCAGTTGACAAAACTGAGTCCGTTTATGGCATATAATTCTCATATAAGCAGGCAAATTGGGAACAATTTTTTTTGGGTGCAAATAGAGGTATTAAAACATTCTTTTTTGGTACATTGATTTTAGGTGTATAATCGATTGAAACAGGCACTGTTTATTCTCCCGCAGTGAATTTTCATTTCGGTGTCAATGTCACACAGTTTTCCGCTGCCGAATTGAATAAATTGTTACAGTATGTCCCAATTTGAGCAATACCGTACTAATCACACTATAAGTTCATGTTACATGTTACCTGGACAAAATAACCTACCGTTAAAATTCCGTAAAGTGCAAAAGAAATTTTTTTTCAGCTATCTTAGAGGTTGAAAAAAAATCCAAATTACTGAACTTACAGTCAGATCAGTATAGTACAAGTTGTCAGCTTTGATTGTCTGCAACTGTGCATGTCATATAAAACAGGGCTCAGGGGTGTGAGGTCAAGTTTATGAATTGTTTTATAAACACTCCTATATGAACCAGGCCCCAATAATTTTGGAGACAATGAGCACTGACGTTGAGTGGGAGTCACCCACTGAGTCCCACTCAACTTGAACGGACTCCCACTCAATGTCCATTGCTATCACAGCTCCAAATCCCCTTGCTGCTGCTCTTTGATTGTCCTCTTGATTGGTCAACTCATTGTTCAGTACAATTGGACTGAGTATTACATGGTAAATAACAACTTTGGCAAACTCCTCCACCATTATTGGTGGATGGTCAGCAGCTTCCGGGGAGGTGTTATCTCTTCAAACATAGCTTGCACCTTCGTATTGAAGTCATATTCAGAGATTGGTGTCCCTTCAGCCTCTTGTTTCATCACCTGCGTTAGTCGGAGTGCAGTATCTTCCAAAAATGACATGTTCATCCTCAGCGGAAAGACCAAGATAGTTCTGGTGCCGCCAGCAGATACAACCATGAAATGGAGGACCATCCGCCCGTTGCTGCGTCGTGCACGGTCGACCCAAGCGTCCAGCGTGGGCCCGGGAATATGTGGAAGCAGAAATTTTCGCACGTCCGGTTCCGAGGGGGGCTTAACGACGACGTGACACTTGGACTCGGGTACACCCTTTTCGAAGTTCGTCATGATGAACAGAACGTTACGCGGGTCCGCACCGGCGCGCGCCTGCGCCTGTGCATTTTCCACGCGTTTGTCGAAATCGGGATCGGGGCAGTGGAAGTTGGTGGGATGCTCGACATAGAAGGCGTGCAGCGAGAAACGGAAAAAGGCGTGCTGGCGCTTGGACATCATACGGCGAATTTCTGGGGATGCAAGCTCGTCAGTAATTCTAACAAGGTTTCAAGATACTGACTCATGTAATCGTCTCTTGCTAAACCACATGTTCTACGGTGCTGGCCTTCACGCCAGTCAGTTTTTTGGCAGGTTTTCGAACAGTAACGGTGCGAAAAGCAGCTAGAGCACCTCTGGAATTTTTCGCGTTTGTCAAAGAGATTGCACTTTTTGATTGGGAATGAGCAAAGATATATCCAAGTGAATGGATTCGTCTCACAGCCAAGTTGTCGCACGCACACAACCGGGTGCGGTTATCCTGATCCCGGGCCTCGAATGCCAAAAGTATCTGCTGTTGATATGAAGCGGCCGTCTTGAGGCGGGCCCAGTATGGCGATAGTGGGAGCTCCGGCTTATTCAGAATCTTCCCTAGGCTTGAGTTGTCAATCATATTGACAGAGTTGACGATGAGAGGAAGGATGAAAGGGTCCATCAGACCCCGGGACAAGCGATCTTCAAGTAACATCTTCAGGTACCGCATACAGGCGTACCTGGGGTTTCCATGCATCAAATGATTGTTGTGAGAAAGCTGCCATGATGCATCAAGGTCTCTAGCACAGACCGGCTCAGATGCATCATGGCAGCTCTCTAAGGTAGTCTTGGAAGCACCCACGCTGTCCGCTTGCATCCGCCCACTGCCGCCCTCCCGCCCACCTGCTCCCGATTCCCGCCCTTGTGCTGGGCATGTGTAATGTACATGACGTGGGCCGCGCACGTGCCAAACCCGCGGCCCCGCTGACCAAATATACATGACATTTCGGACCGGGCTGAGGATTGCCGTTTCTCCCGGCCCTCGCAGCGCACCGCCCGCCTCCGCCCGCCTCCGCCCGCCTCCGCCCGCCTCCGCCCGCCCACTCCCCGCCTACCGTCTGCCTACCCACCAATTCGCCACGCGTGTGACCGTGCGACCTATGCGACACTCATCCCGCTGTTCAGCGGCG